TTAGATGGATGGCCTGACAGGGCTGACGAGCTCCATCTGCCCGGAGAAGTTCCCTGACCGGGAAATGAACCTGGGCCGCGGCGGTGAGAGCGCTTTTCGTAGATACAATAATAATAAATACATTTTTACTCAAAGAGGAAAATATTTACAAGTATCTTTTTTCGCTCTTCTTAGTTTTGTAAATATTTTTAATAGAAGAACTTTATTAACTATACAGGGGCCCATTATTTGCAAGATTGGTTTACCAAATGTTTCAAGACTATGGGAAGTAGTAAAACCTGGTTAATAAAGAAACCATACTACCAAAGTAGGAAATGTTCTATAGGGACATAGAAAGTAGTCGTTAGGAAAGGGCACTGTGGGGATAAAGGGGATAGTTATATCAGATAACATATTTTGAGTAGTCCGAAGGATTTCTGTGGGATTATGAGGGCAAAGCAATAGCCAGCAGCTATGAGGACCCTTTATCCCATAGCTGGACTTTTTAGTCAAAGTTCACTCACAGCCCTTTCTTGCTCCTAGAGCTCTGAAGTAAGAAGAAATGCTTCTGGAAACAACTAGCTCCACAAGTGCCAGAGGTCTGGTGAAACATGGCTATGGCTTGTCCCTTGATTAAAAATCTGTTTGGAACATTGGTCAGAGGCTCTTGGCTGTGCCCTATATTCCTGTAGAATCTTCCCCTAGAGCACAGGCTGCTGCAATCATGAGAGACTGGCCAGTAGAATAACAGGATTAATACCTAAAAGCTGGTGGAGTGAATTTGCAAATATTCACACAGTGTCCTTTTGTCTGCTCCTGTTTACAAATTTTGTAGGTATTTAATTACCATTGAGACCTCTACCCTTCTGATTAAAATTAGACAACAAGTTCAACAAAAATATTTATCTAATTTTGTAAAAGATGCTACAGAATTAAGATTCTGGCTTTTAACTGGCTACAGTAAAATAAAACAGAAGTAAATATGGTCTGTACTCTCTCTCCAGCTTCTGCATTCCTGATCATGATCAGAATGTTCACTGTGTATTTACTGGTCATGTTTCACTGGTGCCAGAAGGCAGTCTCACTTCTGCATTATAACAAATGATGTAACTTCAGTTTTCACCAGACATGCCCAAACATATTTCTCCTTTACAAGAATAAATAGTTAACTCCTTCCATAGCAGTGAGTGTAAATGTGATTATAGAAGTGCTGATACTACCTTGAGAACTGCCAAGAGTAAAAGCCTCCCGTGATAGGAGGAATTCTCTGCTGAATGACCAGATAAATGCCAGATTTTGGACTGGTAGCTGTACATTAAACAATATAGGTATATACCTCTCCAGGAGTTAGGATTTAGCGCTCCCTGAAAAGTCATTTTGCAAAACCCCTTGAATTTAAAATCTCACTACTTTTTCTTTCTGCATCAAGGTTGCTGTTGGAGATGACGTGTTCAGATTTGAGGCGAAAATAAATACCATTTGCACATATGCCTTGCCCTCTCTGTTGGGGACAGCAGGCTATGTGGTTATAGGCCTGTTGTCAGCACAGTGAAGTGGCCAGTCTTGCAGGGATCAGTGGGACCGGCTGGCTCTCCAGCAGTGACAGATGAATTTGGACTGGGAGCTCTGCTGTTGCTTGAGCCTCTGGCTGAAGTGTTAGGACAGAAAGAAAACACTCGTCCTTCCACAAGGAACTGGAAACAGCAAAGACTTCAGGTATAAGTAACAGCAAAAAACAGCACTAAAAATGCTGGGTTTTCTTTGATGCATAGTTGCAAAAGAGGAGCAAGAGGCAAGATTCAGTGGAGGGTAAAAGTAAAGCCTTTGCCAAGAAAAATCACTGTCATCAGGAAGACCAGGCTCTTTGGACATATTGATATGCCTTTAAAGCCTGCTGTCTACAGACTCCTATTATTCTGCTGCCACCTGGTTTTACTTTTTTCCCCTTAATGGAAATGTTTATGCATCTTTTAATCTCTTTTAGTCTAAAAAGCAAAAATTACAACATGTCAGTGTATTAAGAGAGGGTCCCTGTGATCACTCACATGGATAGAAAAAGTTCTGTGAGCGTCTCAAGAGCTCTTAGGAAATACAGTTTTACTTCCCTTTATTTAGGTCAGGACAGACTTCACATCTGTCAGACTGTAGCAACAATTCTATTAATTTCAGTGAAGGAAGATTAGCTCTTAGCTGTGCTGAACAATAAAATACTTATCTCATTTTGCTTAGCATCCTTCTTCCTTTGTGTGCTTCACTCTGTGTTTCACTATGTACAATCTCTCACACAGAAAACCATGCCAGTAATACTACAAAACAATTAAATTTGTAATCTGCCATCTCTGCCTACCAGAGCTTATCCTAGTCTTAGGGGTTTAGTTTTGGGTTTTTTGGAGATAGACTGCACAAGGTCAGATACCAGAAGGAATGAAAGTGCAGGGTAAAAAAGCTCTTGTGAAAAAACAGTTCCTGGGAATGCTTTTGTTGAAAATAAATGTAGTCTCATAGAAAAGTTAAGATCTAGGGACTTGATCTAATCTGAAATGAACCTGAGATCCTGAAAGGACTTTCTGATTCTATTAAACAATTATGCATAGTTCTGAACTTTTGATGGCAGGAAAATCTCTGAGAATCTCTAGAAATATTTAATATAAAATTTCTTAGGCACTGTCTGGATAGTAAGAGTAATCACACATTGGAATGGGCTGCCCAGGGAGGTGGTGGATTCTCTGTCCCTGGAGGTTTTTAAGATGAGATTGGATGTAGCACTTAGTGCCATGGTCTAGTAACCACAGTAGTGTTGGATCAAGGGTTGGACTTGATGATCTCAGAGGTCTTTTCCAACCCAGTTGATTCTGTGATTCTATGATAAGAAATTGCTTTTACTGGAAAACATAGAGTTCAAACCACACAAAACCAAACTCTCTTCATGTTAAATTTCAAGTTAGATCTTTCAGAAACTGAAAGAATTAGATCAAGTCAATCCAAGTCAGCAGTGGTTGGTGTGCTCCTTTGGAAGAGGCCCTATTTCAATTTCCTCTTTTGGACCAGAGTGAGTATCGTAGGCAGAGGAGCCTCAACATGCTTCTTGTTTTTTTGGTGTATATATCTGACTTATAACCCAACATTATTCTAGAGCTGAAAAACCTTTGTAAGGTAAATTAAAAGCTATTATTAAAAGTTAATTTAAAGCTAGACATGAGCTGACAATGTGTGCTCAAAACCGAAAAAGACAACTCCATCCTGAGCTGCCTCAAAACCAGCATGGCCTACAAGTCAAGGGAGGTGATTCTGTCCCTCTACTCTGCTCTGGGGAGACCCCACCTGGAGCACTGCATCCAGCTCTGGGGTGCCCAGCACAGGAAGGGCATTGACCTATAGGTGCATATCCAGAGAAGGGTCACAGAGATGATCAGAGGGATGGAACACCTCCTGAGAGAGTTGGGGTTGTTCAGCCTGGAGAAGAGAAGGCTCTGGAGTGACCTTATTGTAACCTTTTGGTATTTAAACAGAACCTATAAGAAAGATAGAGACAAATATTTTAGCAAGGTCTGTTTCTAAAGAACAAAGGATAATGGTTCTAAGCTAAAAAAGGGTAGATTTAGTCTAGACATAAGGCCAAGTTTTTTACAATGAGGGTGGTGAAACACTGCAATAGTTTGCCCAGAGGGGTGATGGATGCCTCATTCCTGCAAACATTCAAGATCAGGCTGGACAAGGCTCTGAACATCCTGATCTGGTTGAAGGGGTCCTGGCTCATTGCAGGGGTGTTAGACCAGATGACTTTTAAAGATCTCTTCGAACAAAAAAACATTCTTTGATTCTATGAAATGCCAGTGAACTTCACCTTTTTTTATAACAAAAATTTATTTACAAAAAATTGTCTTCTTCTGCCAAAATTCTCACAGCTAAAATACATTTCACTTTTAGAAGAGCTGATTGCAGTTCCCGTTTACATTATCAATTAGTATTTCTGCCTTACAGCTTTCATGATTCCAGCCTACCATGTGCAACCATCTATCTATGGCACAGTGATTACACAACCAACCTGGCTTCTACTGAGCAGCAGAGAGTAGCATAATTATTATTCTGTATGACCAAATAACTCCATTCCTATCTCTGTATTTAATGACATAGCATTAGCTGCAGGCTCTTGTCACCCCTAAAAAGAGACAAATATAAGAAGTACCTGTATTTAATAGATAAAATTGCCACTTTACAAAGCTTCATTAGTACTGACAAATTATCTGCGTGGCATCACAGTGTAGAGGTGTCTAATCTGCTTTTAAGTGAGACACATTAAGTACTACAAGGAATATGGTGTTGCATGCAATGTTTGAATAACATACATAGCTAAGTTGATTTCAATTCTTACAGCAGTCAAAGTGACAACTCATTTGGGGGATGCAATGTGATTCAACACAACAGGTAAGCAAATGTTTACTGCAAACAGAAAATGAACATTCAACAAGAATGAGCCACATATTAAAGATGTTGTACCCACAGTTCTTTTTAGCAGATACTGTATAAACAATGGGAAAACTCTTTAGGGAAACTGTTTTAAAAATTTCAATATGAATTCCAATTAAAAAGTGCCCAAGATGGTAGATGTCGCGTCTGTAGCATAAATCTGGTGAATTAATTAGTGGTGGTGCTGCTCTGCCTGATACAGCCTTTGCCAAATGCAAACCTGGGGCCAAGGACGTATGATGCATACAATATGGCACACTGAACCCACAGGGAACAACAGTCCCAGGGGTTGCCAGATCCTTCCCCACATGCCTCCTGTCCCCCTGCCCTCCAGCACAGAAGGCAGCCTCTTGGTGCCCAGATGTACCTACATCTCAGTCCTTGTCTTCTCCCTCCAGACCTTGCACCATGATGCTTACTGGTTTTGCCTTTCAGAACTTAATTTTTCAAGCCTCCAGTACATTACTGAGCTGACTCTGAGGGATCAGACTCGGACTTCCTTTTCTATGAATGATGCCGTGCAGGCTAGTTGGTCGTAGTGAAATACAGAAATTCTCAGCTCATATGAAAATGCAGCACCTGACAAAAGTTTCATATTCTTTATTGCTGTATATTTTGCCCAACAGTTTGTGAATGGCACTCATATCCATCAACAGCAGCTGAACAAGAATGGGGTGACAGCTCCTACTTGCTTCAGAGAGATCTGAATTTTAGAGAAGTACACTGTAATTGTGGTCAGGATGTCTAGGGAAGAGAAAGCAAAAAAATTAATAAATATACTTTTTTTCTTCATTTATACTGATAGCACACTAATGTATCTTTTAAACATTAAGCCTCAAAGATAAAAGTTTCCTTAGTGTTTTGTTCAGGAGGCTGTAATGACAACTGATAAACAGGATGCGTTATTCGGTAGTGGAGAATTTCCTTCTTGTCATAGCAGATTATTTTTAGTATTAAGAACAAGTTTTGTCACCATATGACATCAATTTGGAATAAAAATGGAGACTTTTAATTTAGTTTTTCATTTGTGGAATTACAATTCCTTTATATTCCACAGCTTTCTACCTATTCCATTTATCCTATTTTTCTAGTACCCTTAACTTCTAAATCTAAAGCTAAAGTGAGCTTCAAACCTTAATTTCTCCTTGAATTTTGCCTTTCCTTACAGGCCCCTTGTGGGGCCACCGCCCTTTCATATTGAAGTCCAGTGAAAGAAGTGCTCAGGGAAAAGAAAAGCATATTATAGTTTGTGTGAAGAAAAGAAATAACTTTACATTCTACATCTCCCTCTCATCACCAGGTCACCTGTGAGTTAATTTCCCTGGTAATGTAGTTGCATGTTGTCTAACAGCTTTATCAGAAAACAATAATTTATGCATCCTTTCACATTTGGAGAAGTTTTTTGTCATTTCCTATCTCTGCTTATCCAATCCATCTCATTCAGTCCTTACAATATCACCTGTGAATGTGTTTATATGCTGCCTCTATTTCATTCTCATTTATCCCTAAATGTCTGCCTCCTCGGTATTCAGTTCAGCCATCGTGGATCATGCCACATCCTCTGACAGATATTATTGGGTTTGCTGTAGCAAAATAACATTTTTGGAATACAGAAGATTCAAATTATAAAGCATTTCTGTGGTATGTCGTTGATACAGGATGACTGAGGATTCAGTATAAGGAATCACAGCAGTCACTCAACTTGAAAATACCTCTGCTTTCCCTCTACATTTAAACTACCAATTTTTAACTATACTGATATATTTTGACACCAGAGTCAGAGAAAAAGAGCATTTTAAGCAAAGGAATAAAATCCCCAAAGATGCCTGATATGAGTGACATTAAGTTTCAGAACAGCAGCACAAAAATTTGAACAAGTACATTGCAAAGGAGATAGCTTGTGAAATTTCTTGCCATCAAAGTGTTATACTATTTTAATAGTATAATGAAGAAGGATTTCTCAGCAGCTTAGATGTAGCCCCTAGAGTGGGCTGTTGTTATACGTAGCTGCTTTGTAAACCCTATGCTAACTGAGCCAGGAAATATGTTGGTCCTTAAACAACGACATGACAAGATGCAGGAAATTAGGCAGATACAGAGCAGCCAGGCTGAGTTTTGTACATTTCCACCTGGGATCTTGGATCAAGAATGGAAACCATCCACAGAATGGCAACAACGCTGGCTAAAGTTTGTGTTTAATCTCAAAAACAATAGAAAAGAGAATTCTCTCTGGTTTTGGGCTTTTTATTTGTTTTGTTTGGCTTTTTAAAATTATTATTAGGTAACAAAATTGACAGATTGTACATATTCATGTAGTTATTAAAAACAATTCTATTTAGAATTGAGCTGGTAACACACTGAACATCATGACAATACAATTCGTATTATTTTAAATCAGGCTTAACATAAGTGCTTCTTTTTCACACACATTGAGCTTTTCACTACCTACCTCAATCCATAGATACAAGATGAAAAGATCCTGTCTCAAGGTGGCAAATATTGTTTAAAAGACTGCTGAAAAAGTGTGGAATTCAGTTTTGGAATCAGATATTTGGCATCTGAATGAGGCTTTTCAGTTCTTTCGTAGCCTGTCTCACACAAAATCACTATACTGTAAATTTCTAAGAGGTGGTGGTCCTAGCACATGAATCCTAATGAAATTATCTTATTGGTACAGACATATCAATGTGTAGAAAAAACATAAATATAAATTCATTATGAAGTGAAAGCTGTTATCAAAAAAATCCTTTCTAATTTTTCAGCCTCTGTGGAAATGTGCATTGACATTTAGAAAAGTAAGTTATTTTTAAGTAAGGTCATATTTATGAATGGTTATAGTAGCTTTTGGGGTTCCCTTCATTATATGCAAGCTCATAACTTTCATCACACAGAGACAAGAATCTCAGGTTTCTATGTATTACACAGATGTGGGTGTGAAAAAACTGTGCTAAAGCTTCTGAAATTCTTTTGGACTTCTAGTGCTGTAAATTAGAGAACTCAGGAAAGAAAAAAAATGAAAGCCTTAAGCCTCTAAACTTTTGCACAGTAGATGGTTTGGCCATTGATCAAAGCAGCAGAGGCAAAGGGAGGAGCTGCAAGAGTGCTGGTGGGTGTGTGAGGAACTGAGGTTTCTGTTGTGCTCCAACTACTTTTATGCTCTCTCTCTCTGAACATGCTTATGGATATAACCTGCTGCCTGCAGTATTACTGAGGGACTCGGCTGACAAGGTCTGGCTGGAGCACATACAAAAACCACAACCTTCAAACCTATAAACATTCATACCTGAAACTTGACATATGCCCAAAACAAAATAGAAGCTTAAATGGTTTGTAGCATAGATACTAACCAGCATTTTGGCCATCCAATAGAGGCACAGAATATATATATTCATATCAACTACTGCATGACTTTTTGAAAGTGAATGCTTGAGAAAATAGCAGCCTAATACCCATATGATCAGAAGGAGTTTAAATTCCATAATAAAGGACTTATTGTGTATTATTCACCTAGATCTAAAAAGTGATTTAAAATGAGAATACTTCCATAGTCAACTGAAATCTCATAAGAGCAGAAAAAGTTGCAGCTATATCAATATTGTATATTCATTAAAAATAAGGACAGAACTGACAGCCCTAGAGACATATAAATTTGCAATGAATCGTTCTTTCAGAATTAAATGTGCAAATTAAAGCAATTAAACTGTAAGCCACTATAGCAGAATATTCTGTCTGGAATGGGGGTAACACACTTCAAACAACACCCTATTTGCAAAGCTGTCAGTGGTGAACGGAGAAAGAGTTGACTTGCTGCTTTTGATGCTGAATAATGCTGAAACCAGCCTGACTTAATTCCAAGGTTTAACATTGTGATAGTAAGATGGAGATACAGCAGACCTGGTAAAGCACGTGATAAAGGAACCAACAACTGACACTATTGATAACTTCTGTAAAGATGCTGAGCTCACACTGCTGGCCCAGGAAAGTATGACTGACAGTCCATCACTTTATACTATAAAAATCCAGTCTCACTTTTTAATGCCAAGTTCTCCTAATATACCCCTTCTCAGAGTGTGTGTGGAGATTCTTCCCTTGAGTGGGGATGCCCCTTAAGGTTACTCCTCAAGGTTGAGAGAAAGAGATTTTCCTATGGTCATTGATATAGGGGAGTAACATCGATCTCTACTTAATAATTGGTTTTGCTACCTTTAATACAATTTCTTCAATATTGCTTAAAAAACAGTGCACTATACTAGTTGTTATAGCTACATATATCGTGTAGCAAATAATTCTGATTAAGAGCTTTTAGCCTAATCATTATCATAATAAATCATGTATTTTAATATAAATAAGGATGGTTTTTAATATAAATAAGGATGGTTTGCCATCCTTAATCCAAAGGGCAAAGTATAAATGTTTAATTACACTTATATAATCCTTTGGACATAAAATGTTGATAAAGTCTGGGTCTAAGATTGAATCCAGCTGCACCTAGACTCCTCTCTGAGGAATTTAGAATGCAAGGGAGTCCTCTCTGCACATCAGAGGGCTTCTCTAGTAATCTTTGTCTCAAGCTGCCATTTCTGACCGTGTCAGCCATCTAGACACATTTCAAGGCTAAAAGTTAACACACTGTAGGAATAAGAACAAACTGGCTTGCTGAGAGTGCATCAAATTTTCCTTCACAGCTTCTCAGTTTGTTCGTTCAATAGGCTACAGCCTAAAGCTGATTGTTTGTGTATAACATTCTCTTCCATTGTAGGGGCTGTTTCTTTATCCACCCCTGTTAAATCTGCTGTGGTTGTACACAGGGCTAGATAACACTAAGAGAGGACTAAGACATTTCTTAAAGCTAGATATAAAGAGGTGTAATTGCCTTTCATTCTTCCTTTCCTCCTCATCCATACTTATAACCAATCAGATTACTCCCTATTGCCCCAGATGTTTGTCAAAGTAATGCAGTCAGCTTTTGCTCTGCTTTCCAGTATGCCTTTGGCACTCACCTCTTACAGACTCCAGAGCCTGGAGACTCACCTTTTCCCTTATTTTCTTGCTATATACAAATTCATAAAGTGCAGTAGCAGCAAGGAGGGCTCAGTTTCACAACTGCTGTGGTCAGTTTGCTCACAGCAATGAATGCTCACTTCTTTGCTGTGGAAGAAGTTAAAAGTAAGAAAAGATATGTACCACCTAACTTATTTTTCAAAGCAAATATCATCAGCTTGAAAATGAAAACAAAAAGTAAAATAGCAAAAAGAGGAAATGAAGTTTATGGTGATGTTCACTGGTATTTCTCTTTGATGAAACCATGACTGTTACTTAGCATCACTGACTGAAAATTACAATGAAACACAAGTTAAACACTTTTATTTAGATAAAAGTCATTATAACCTTATTCACCTGGAAATTATTTAAAATTTTTAGTGGTGCTAATAGATATTAATTAGCATAAGTGGAAAAATGAACTTTATGACTTTCTGGTTTTTCTATTTTTTTTCTTTCTTCTTGATATCTTTCTAGAGGGCAAGTAAAGCACAACAATATGGAATAATGATTATGAAATTCTTTACACTTCACTAGATTACTCCATTACTCTTTGCTTGAAAAGAATGTACTCTGCTCTATTCTAGCCCAAGAAAATGAAACTGCCAGTGATTTCCTATTCCATTCTAGCAAATGTTTACTTGACCAATATGGCAATTTGTACCAAAATAAAACCCACAAAACCAAATAACTTCTACATTTACAATTGGAAAATTACCAGGTAAATTTTAAGTTGAAGGGATAACGTAAGAAGTGACTTTAACATAATTACAATTTTTAAAAGGGTTTTCCTAAAAATCAGAAGTTTTCCTGCCTGTTTTTGTTCTGCATACTTCACTGCCAATATAAATAGCAAAAGTAGACATAAAGGTCAGTCAATATGCTGTGGAAGTGCTAGGTGCTAGGGATCTTTTGTTCTACACTTTGCTCTTGCTTGACAAATTACAGGTGCTAAAGCAAAGAACAGGAGTGATTATAAATACCATGATGCATTCCAGGACATCATTTTCAGAAACTTTTTGAGTCAGATTAATAGAAATACTAGGTGAATAGCCTACATGTCATATTGGAATACTGTGACTTAAGTGACCTTTGGGTTAAAATAACAAAAAGAGGTATTTTTAATTACAACACATGATATGGAGATTTTTCTTTCCAGGTCACATCCAGAAGACTGGAGATTAACCCATCTTCCACTGAGTTCAATAGAATGACTCTTCCCATCTATATCAGTTGATTTTGTGTCTATATTTCTTGCAGAGCTGTTTTCATTATTGTAAGTTTATATTTTTCAATATTCACATTTTCTCTGCCAGCTTTCCACCCAGCTTTCTGCTTTTGAAATTGTATGTGCCATCACTTCTCTGGCTCTGGCTCTTTATCAAGACCTTTCTTGATACATCCTATTATCACGTTTGCTTTTTTCATACCATATCATATTTATGAATGTTGATTATCTTGTGATGAACTCCTGTATCTTGATCTTTTTGTGTTTGCTGTTCTAAGCTAATGAGCTTCTCCCACTTGCAGTAAAAATTTTTACTCTTAAATTCATGTCATTGTTACATTTATTGTTTCTATTATTTTTGCCCTTCAGGTCATCTAGTCCCTGCAGCAGAATACTCTGATGTTCATCTATATTCCCAGTATCTTACACTTTGTGTCATCAGCCAGTTTTATTCCTTTATTTCTAATGAGACCAGCATCATTAACAGAAACAGTAAATGCACTAGGTCACTATAAGATTCTGTATCACAAGGACGATCTAGATTAGTTCTTTTTTTTTACCAGACATTATTTTTCTCATGTTATGTTTTCAGCGTTAATTACTTGAGAAATGCTGACAGATACTTCCTCCAGCCCACTTGTTACATTTTCTTTTTGTGAGTGGAACCTCGCCAGAAAATACCAGAGCCTTGGGTGGGGTGCTTTTCCAGAACTAGGTATCACAGAGACAACACAGAGAGTCTGATTTGGCTCTCACAAGTTCTCCATTTTTAATTCCAATGAAAGAATGAGTATTTGTTACTAACACACCTTTTTATTTGCCATCTCTTACTTTTGATGTTAAATGCTACAAGCCCTTTTTTCTTTCTGACATCACAAACACTGGCTTCATATAAAGATTGACCTTTACTTCATTACTGACGATAAGCAAGCTCTGAATGTGTATTTGCCTAGCTCAGAGATACCCACAGGGACTTAATATAAAAATAGACTGTGGCTCTGGAAAAGGCACAGGAAGAAATGAAAAATGTAACTCAAAGTCTTTTCATTTCCCTTGCTAATCACCAGTGGGAGGAACCCCTCTCATCTCTTCTGGATAGAGAACCAAAGATGATTCTTCATTTTGTATGTAAGAAGATCATACAAGCTGGTTAACCCAACATGAAAGCTCTAAAATATTCAGGAAAAAAAAGTAAGATGGGGTGGTGACTTAACAAAGCACTTCAAAACAGGCAATATAATTATATTTCGATACATGTCAGTTTTGTCAAAATTAATTTCTGGTTGAAAAAAGAAAAGCCCAGAACTCTGGAAATATTCTGGGTCTTATCATTCTGGAAGGACATACCTTGATCTTTCCATTTTGAAATTGCTTTTAAAAGCATTTTTTTTTAAAAACGTGTCTATTGTAAAACATAGACTATTTATTTTGACTGTTTTTACAACTTACCTCAATTTCGGAAGAACTGGTTTATCATGAGGCTTGATTTCACTGATAGATCTTGCTTACGTATAGATACATACCAAATCTCTTTCTTGAGTATGGAAGGAAGTGATACAGTCTTTTTTTCTGCTCACACCAGTAAGTGCCTTTTGGTCATCGTTGTACCCAAAAGCCATTTTCTGAAGCACCTCTGAGGTCTGGACATCAAGGCTGGCTTAGGCAGTCATATGAGTCTAAGGCTGGAGGTGGTTCTGGCTGCTACTGAGCTTTGGAGCCTGTGGTGTCCCACTGGCTTGTCATCTGCTACCCAAGGAACAAACTCTTCAAATTTCCTACTATAACTCTATCCATAAGCACTCCTAACCTACTTTCACAAGAATTGTTTGTTGGAGACTGGCAGTAAGTACAGAAAGATCTGAATTTATTACTAAACTGAAGACATTTTAGCACGCATCTTACACTCTTGTAACGCAGTAATGTAAAGACAGGGCCTCGGCTGCATATATAAAACAGCAATATATGAAAGCATATACACAACTTCATCTACTTTTTTGTATGAAACTTCAGAGTTTTAGATGGAAAGCACAAAGTCACTTCCTCATGCCATTATGAAGAGTGAAAATTGTGTGCAACCACACTTGGGGGAATTAAATTAAAAAATTGACATGCCACAACCTCCTACATAGCTAGTAGAAAATAGGCTGCTGGCAGAAAGGACAGGCAGGAGATGATAAAGTCAGTCAAAAGTAAAAGTGGTTTAAATGAAACTGAAATTGTAGGAGTATAAGAGTACCAGCATTCATAAAAAGCAAATGATCCCTTCTGAGACATGTGCTGCCATAGGAAGACACTTAAATAAGAATGTCATGTGGAATTTAATGCTGGTCTTCTTTACTGCAGTGGTAGGAACATGCATCCTTTTGCTTATTCTGAATTTAAACAGATATTTTGTCTTGGTTGCGTTTAAGAGGCCCAATTTATTTAACAAAGAGATCAAGGTCTGGAACACAAACTGTTTTCTGCTATCAGAAAGGGAAATAAGTATTGTTTGTTTGTTTTAATTTTTCTTGAGGTCAAAACCTATATCTAAAAATATGCTTTTATTGAAGCACACTTTTGGAGTGAAGCATGAACTCCTTGTTGGATTTCTATAGCCTACAGTACATAGGAAGTCAGATTAGATAATCAAAATGTCCCTTTTGAGCTGAGGAAGTCTTAAAACTGTCAGCATTGCTGTACAGTGCCACCTAATGACACAGAGCAGTTCACAGGAGATCCATTCTCCAAGCTGTTACAGTAACATGGAGGTCTGCAATACACCACAATCAGTACTTTAGGGATTCTACAGAGACCTTTAAAATGTTTTTGTCCTCTAAAACATATGAAACCATGCCCTTTTTACTCAAATATCATTCAGAAATGCAAGCAAAACATGTGCGAAAGGAAACTTTAGATATTTACCGTGCACACGCTAAATAAACTATTAGTGCTTTACTGACCTGTTGCATACTTGCAAAGCTACATAAGTTCTTTGGCAGCAAGGAAAACAGAAAACCCCCTTTAAGACATAGATCATATTTCTGCATATGGAAAGGAAGGCTTTTAATAAAATATTAGCAAGGATACTGTGTCTGCAGGGAAAAAAGGCAGATGTTTTGTAACATTTCTCTGGGATGCTGAAGTCAGCTGTGTTCAGAGACAGATGTTCTCCATTAAAAATGTGTCAGACATTTGGAATTCCCTTGTTTACTTTTCTGGGAAATGTCACAGTGTCTAAAAGACTACCTTCAGGCCATAGCAGATAACCAGGGTAATTTTAAGATGTTTTCATTTGGTATAGCACATCACCTAAGGAAACTGAATGATTTGAAAATGTTTTGGAGATAATTTAGTTATTTGCCTTGTTTCCTCTGGGTTCTATAGTTTAGTTGACCGCAGGAGAATACTTTTTTCCCAAAACTCGTCTTCCTGCAAAGTGTATGGTGTACTGGAATCTGTGCTGAACTGTGAATGCATCCTTTAGGAAACAAGCCCAGGAGTGGATTCAAGGTTTTTATGGTGTTCAGCTGTTCAAAACTGTTTTTTACTCACAAAGACCATGTCTAAGGAACAGTTGCTGAGGTTACTCTTGCATTGACCAGCTCCTGTCACTACACTATTCTACTGTATTTTTCATTTTATTGCTTGTGTGTGCTTCTTGATAGGGACTCCTTATGTAGTCAGGGCTGTGCACCAGTGTTCTTGCTGGACTCAGGGAGGCAGATTCTCCAGTAGGAGACAACCATGCTGGAGATCCCCAACCTGGTTTCCAAAAAAAGAGGTAGATCTGCATAATGCAGCAGGGCACCCATCAGAGCCACCAGCAGATGCCCAGGGAAGCTTACTCAGTAGTAGCTGGTTTAGTTACAGCATGACCTGCTTCAATCCATGCAGACAGTGGCACCTATGTTAGCATTCTCTTGTCATAATTAGATGCCACCTTGAGAATGTTTGAGAGCAAAATACAGTATGCCAGCTAGTCATCTGATTAAATGGAACTGTTAAACAATCAAGTTACAAGTATTTAGAGAATAATACGGTGGTAAATCAAGATCTTAAATGTGTTCTTCAAAACCAAACACAGTCAAAACAACTTCTTTCTTTACAGAGTAAATAGTTTAGCTGGAAATGTGTCACTTGGACCTAAGCAGAGGTGTGCACCATGTAGCAAAGAGATCTGAGTTGAACAATCATAAAAACAGATGCACAGAGAGCAGTTTGTAGAGGAGTTCGATTTCAAACTGGAAGACTGCCTTATGTGAGACTCCACAAAGGTCCCAACTAGAGCCACAAGTGATTATATTTTCATCAGCAACTCAGATAATGGAAAGAAGAGCATGATTTAAAAAGGTTTCATCTGGCAAAATTCATGACATGGTTCAAAAGCAGCTAGATGAAATTCAGTGAAGATATATGTGAAGTACTGTGCTGAGAAACAAAATACAAATGAAAATCAGCAAATGTTAGAACAAATTTCATGGATCTATGCTGGTCTTCTGAAATCAGGAAAATTCTCCCCAAGTAACCTTCCCAACTTGCTATACAGGCTAAGTACAGGTGTACAAACTGAATACACACAGGTAACCAAAGCGACTGAAATCCACTGTTGCAGTCTAAAGAATAGATTTATTCCATCATTTTCCTGGCAGACAGGGACATTACACTGCTAAGCTAGTCCAAACTTAGCAGGGGCAAAAAGGTGCAAGGGAGGGGGGATGTTCCTGGCCTCTACATAACAAGGGACCTGGTGTGCTTTACTCCACAAGACTGTGTTTTACAACCTTCAAACTTCTTACCTCTGTTCCCTCCCCCCCACCCCGAGAGGCCTAGGCTTGTAAAGAATGTTTTAAGTCTCTTTACAAAATCTTGTTATGTTCTGCAGCAACTCCACTTCTCAGGGAAGATAGAAAACAACCCAAAAGCAACCATGATATGTGAAATTTCCCACACTGAGTATTCTTAGCACCTTCGAGCGAAAACAACTCTAAAACCAACCTTAAATTCTCTCCTTGACAATCTTATGCTTTCAACTGCTTCCTCCCCACAGCTGGTCAGTGTTAAAGGAGGATGATGCTTGAATTATTTGACACACATTTGTATACTGCTTTTTTTATTCCTCCAGATAAAATGTTTGTTCGCTGTGAGGAATGAGGCCATAGCCCATGTTTAGATATCCTTTTAGTATTTTGTTATTTCAGTTTTGACAGAATCTGTGTGAGAATCTAAGCCAAGCATCTCATCTGGTGGTAATTTCTTTTTACCATGAATAGAATAGAATAAAATAGAACAGAATAGAATGGAATAGAATAATAGAATATTAAGGTTGGAAAAGGTCTCCAAGATTATTGAGTCCATCCCTTGACCAAACATCATCATGCCAGCTAAACCATAGCAGTAAGTTTCACATCCAGTGGTTTCTTGAACGCTTCCAGAGATGGTGACTCCACTACTTCCCTGCACAGCCCATTCCAATGCTTGACAACCCTTTCCATTAAGAAATTCTTCCTGATGTCCAACCTGAACATCCCCTGGCACATCTTGAGGCCATTTCCTCTTGTCCTGTCACTGGTTGCCCGGGACACTCACCTTGCTACAACCTCCTTTCAGATAGAAGGAGCTGTAAAGAGTTATAAGGTTTTCCCTGAGCCTCCTCTTCTACAGACTAAACAACTCCAGCTTCTTCAGATGGTCTCTATATGACTTACTCTCCAGACCCTTCCCCAGCTCTGTTTCCTTCTCTGGACACATTCCAGGACCTCAATGTCTTCCTTGAAGTACTCGAGGTGTGGCCTCACCAGTGCTTACTACAGAGGGACAATCACTGCCCTAGTCCTGCTGGCCACACTATTTTGATACAGGCCAGGATGTCATTGGCCTTCTTTGCCACCTGGGCACACACTGGCTCATGTTCAGCCTGCTGTCAACCAGAACCTCCATATCCTTTTCTTCTGGAACACTTTCCAGTCACTCTTCCCCCAGCCTGTAGCACTGCATGGGGTTGTTGTAGCCAAAGTGCAGGACCCAGCACCTGGCCCTCGAATCTCATATAGCAGGTCTCAGCCCATTGATCCAGGCTGTCCAGATGCCTTTGTAGAGCCCTCCTACCCTACAGCAGATCAACATTCCCACCCAATCTGATGTCATCCACAAACTTACTGAGGGTGCACTTGATCCCCTTGTCCAGATCACGGACAAAGATATTAAAGAGGATAGACGCCAATACTGAGCTTTGAGGAATCCCACTTGTGACTGATCACCAGCTGGATGTGGCACCATTCACCACCATCCTCTGGGTCCAGAAATCCAGACAGTTTTTAACCCAGGAAAGACTGCACCTCTCCAAACCATGGTCTGCCAGCTTCTTCAGGAGAATTCTATGTGAGACAATATCAAGGGCGTTCCTAAGATAGACTACATTCACAGACAGTTCTTACTCACTTTATTACCCTGATAATTGCTGCAAAGAAAAAAAAAGAACAAAAAATTTTTAAAAAATTAATTATTCACAGTCCTCTTTCCAGTGATTTTTTTTTCTGTGGTTATTCCTTCAGATCAAGGTCTCATGGAAAGTGATTATGTAAATACTGAAGTTTGTTACTCAACAGATTTGATCATTAGTAAGTTCTTAGCTGCTTAACTTCTTTCTCAGTCTTTTCTTACAATGATGAATAAGCAGAACTTGCTATATATCAACAGAAGTGTTTTCCAAGTGACCAGCATTTCCATAGGCACAGCACCTACTGGGAGCATTAGAATTACACATGTTCAGCCGTGTGGAATTGAGCCTGCATTGTTTTCGCTTTCTGGGGCTCACCATGTGAGTACTTCTGGCTAAACTAGAAAAGACATGAGAATTTCACAGAATGACAGAATATTCTGAGTTGGAAGGGACCCGCAAGGATCATCGAGTCCAACTTGTGGTTCATCTGGCATAATTTGGATATGCACTCTAGGATGATGAGCACTGTACACTTGACTCGAAAGCAGTTTGTTCTGTGTCATTTTTAAGGGGATTCCAAGGTAGATACTTGAGGCTTGAGATAAATCCTACCCAGACAGACCTGGGTTATCTGTTGAAGAATCAGAACTCAACTAGAATTTTCAGGATTAACCAGTAAAGTATTTAGTTATAAATGGAGCAAGTTTTTAATGAAAATAGTTTACACTTGTTAAATTTGGTTCCTACACATAAACTTACAAGTTGACACATCAGTATAAATACACTATCAAGGCCACTGCATTGTTTTGGTAGGCAATATCTAAACTGATGATTTCATACATGTTGTGCTGCCTGGAATTGCTGGGGAACTCTAGTCTTTATTGCAGTAACATGTAATACACAACTATAGTGCAATTTCCAAATTTTAACACTTGCTACAGTTCAGTCACAGGGCTATTTGAGAGACTAATGCCCTAAGGCAGTAACTAGGTTTATCATAACAAATCATTATACATGAAATATCTGTTTGTTGTCAAGCATTCCTTCTTCAACAGTGAGTACTCTTTTCAAAGTCTCCATTTATATAATGGTGACTGTACTGGAAATAGTTTGCAATAGTTTCAGACATTTGGTTAAATGTACTAATGACCTGTTAGAATGAAACTGAATGAAAGGAACAACAAGCTGGAAACAGAAAAATAAAGATATATTTCAACATAATGGAAGGAATAACATTTCTTCGCTCAGATAATTACTGTGTTGTTCATGTAAGTAGCCCTTTCCTAAAATATGTATCAAATGCCAGAAGTTGCCTCCTCACCATAACTGTTAACCTTTTGATGCATTGATGAAAAGTGAACAGTCTTTCCAATGTTTATCATAGCCAAAAAATCTTGAGACATCACCTTGATTTATAAGCAGTGAAACTTAAAAAACCCTTAGTATGAGTAAACCTACCTTAATACTTAGAGGATATGGTAGTTCACAAAGTTTCAATGTTCACTGGATGGAAAATGACAGGAAGGAAATATTTAATTTGATTTCACAAAAGCTTTTAAACCAAAGAAGTTTTAAATGACTGAGATTCAGTGATCTTGTTAAAGATATTTCATATTAATATTTTATATTAATCAGTTCCCAATTTGTTTGGTAAATCGTTCTCTATTATGCTGAATTTTGATATAGACAAATTCCTTTGGTAGTATAAGCTAAATAATAGGGTTCTTTTATTAACTAAAAGCTGGTGTAAGTGTTTTCTACTCTTTTGCCTTACCTTCCCCTCCTGTGCTTGCTTTTGAATAGAAAATGCCTATAAAACCTAATTATATCCTCATTTTTCTTTCAACACCAGCCAGTCATCATGAAGATTGACACTGTTTCATGAAACTGGCAGTGGTTATTAATTCGTGGATGACTGGCAAGACAAGTGGAAAAGCCAGATAAACTTAATTTTCTTTGACATATTGTGGGTTTTTTTTTCTCTGGCATATAAATGTTGCTAATCGTCAGTTAAATTGTTCATGCTTTTCATTCATCTGTAATTACCATTTTAAAAATGAGATGCTAATAAATAAGATGTAATAAAAGGTTATTGCAACTTTTTTTTATGCATCAGAAGACCTAAACTTAGGGAGAGAGAAATCTGGTGGGGCTCCGTCATTTTGTATGTTAAGACTGGCAAGGGCAATTTCTTGTAGCAACTTTTCTGGAGAAAAAATAATTCTGAAAGGAATGAAAATATTATCTTTCATATTAAAAAACAGCTGTTTCAGTCAAACCATCCAACATCATTACTATAAATACAATACCATAGAATATCATCTAATTAAACCAAGTTATACAACTAAATTGTGTTCATTTTGAAAGTAGTATTGCTGCAGCACTGCTTCCCAATTCAAGTTAAATTACTTTAATTAATGGATTTAAGTTTGGAAACATTCAAAGTGAGTGCTGAATCCTTTGAGATTTATGTCAGTTTACTTCATGAATTTTGGTTATTCAAAGCTCAGTGAGCTCAAACTTTAATTATTTGTCATTGCCTTTTCCATGTTCTGAGTGCTACGCAAATGTCCACCATAATTACAGTGGGCTCAAAAGAGAAGAATAGAAGGATAAGACAAAACTATCTTTGCCCTGGACTGATCTCAGTAGATGGAAGCTGTGTTCTTGCCTGTAACCAATTGAAGCAGGACTAGCTATTCTCCCACTCCCTTCGGGGATCTGATCAACATCATTACCAACACCATGAAATAAATGTCCTGAAACCAACTGCAACGATATTTTTAATAGGAAAGCGAGAGGTCTAAAATAATAGCAATAAGATCACCACTGTTACATACTTATTAATCAGGCTTCATAAAACAAAAATAATTAAAATGATTTTTCTTGGGGGCAAAGACTGGATGCAGTATCAAAGATCAAATATTTCTGCAATGTTTTTATCTCCCCCCAGAAGGTATAATAAGTTCATTATATGTTCAGAAATACAGAAACTGGATTAGCTAAAAAAATATAGGCATACATCTTCACATACAATAGATAGCTCTGGATATTGCACTCATTGCAAAGAGTAAAAAGAGTGAAAACACAGCAGTAGGGTTTCTCCAACTACAAAGAGAAAATGAATGTAAACATGATTAAATAATTTTGTCTGCAGAGTTTGAGACTGGGAGGAAGCCACCAGAAAGCTTATTTCTGTTTCTTTTCTGCCACAGACAGAAACAGGGGAAGATCTTTCAAGAAATATATTTCCTGAAGATTTTCCCTCAGCATAGAGGAAAGAATGCAGTCTGATAAATCAATTATTTTTGGACTGTGAGTTGTCAGGATTTTTTAGTCCAATTTCATAAGTCTGTTTCATATCCTACTTCCTTTCTAATTTCAGATCAGTGAATGGTTTGTTGATTCTCATGTTTAAAGTTTATTCTCCACATAGCCATATGCTTAGAGTACACATAGATAGAATGGCACCCTACCACAGGAACACATGGTCATGGCTGTCCTTGCAGAACTTCAGCTCTATCATGAAAGCCACTTGCATTACATCTTTTAAATTACATCAGATAAGCCAGTCTCCTAGCTTTCCTGTCACGCACCAGGAGAAGTTGGCATGCATCTGGTGATGTAAAATGGCTGATATGCTTACTGGAATGTCATGACTTTTCTGCATGTTTAGACACTGTCTCCTTCTCACCCTCAGGAGGCTGTGGTCATCAAAACGGACCAAAGCCCTGGAGTAATGCATCCCATATTGCAACAACCACATAAACAATGTACAGAAGAAACAGGCAGAAGCCTCACTGAAAGGGACTTCACTCAGACACTTGATCACAAAGCAAAAACAATAGGAAAAAGACACAGGTAGAATTTGAAGCTGTTTGTGTAACTTACCTAGTTTAAAACTTGTTGCCAAACACTAAAATAAAGTCAGTCTTATGTCTAAGAGCAATTGATTACTACATTATCCCTGTTTGCATGTAACCTGTTACCCATCTAGAAATAACTATTAGGTTATTTTCCCAGTTTTGGGCTTGCCTTCTGTTTGACTGAGCTCAGACAATTTTAGGAAAATAGGAATCATTGGACCAGATACCTGAATTGCACCCCAAAAAAGCATAAGTGGTTGTAAAACTGCAGCAGGCAGATATGTCTGAAGTCAAGTGACTTTCTGACTGTGGAAAGCATAATAGGCACTCACTAAAGACACCTGGTGCTTATTGCCATCTAGTGAAAGAACTGGCCAACACCACAGCCTTTCCATTTGTTATGTTGCCAAGTGCATCATCAGAAACATAAAAGTATACCCAAGCATAGGCATTTTCAATGCAGTGTGCGCAGCACATCTCAAAAACTTACTGACAGCAAGTGGCATTCATTCTTATGCCATTGCAACTTCAAAGTCTGGATAAATATTTTAATGCTTGGCTAATGGGGGAAACACTTACCTGCTGTGATATTTTACCACTAACTTCTTGGGAAATCCTGATTCCTGGCCTTAATGAAAAAGAAAACCCTTGACTTAGTGGAAAATTCAAGTCTGGTCTTTTCCAGAACACAATCTATCTGTTTTAAACCTCCTGATGAGAAATGATTTCTGAATTTTGAAATTTGATCTTCAAGTCATTATGATATTTAGTCATCAATCAAATTTCACCCAAAAAGACTGAAAAGGGGTGAACAGTTTACAAAGAGAGGTAACAATAAGAAAATGAGCTAGTGACGCCTACAGCCAAAACCCAGCCCTTTTTCTGTATATTATACTTTCCTATAAATTATGGCTGTGCCTCAAATTAATCTGTTACTAAAAAAAAAAGAAAAATAAGGACAATGGATAAAGATAGAGCATGAGGATGTAGTAAACTGCTAAAAGTCTGTTTCCAGTAGAGTGATAGTGTAGTTACACATGTACGTAGTTGTAACCACAGGTGCTTCCATGACATTTCTTCCATTTCTGTCTTCTCTCTCTCTCCCAAATTCCAGACACGATAAAATTCTCATGTAAACACATATTTGATGTCTCTGTCTGAGAAATATATTCTTTTCTTCTATATCTCAGCAGAAGAATAAGGAAGATTTAGCTACTTTTCTATATAATGCATCAAACAAAAAAGAATACTGATTTAATACTGTTCTGTCCAGTCAGTATAAATTCCAGACAAATATCTTATACAAATGTCTAGGGCATAAAATATCTGGAACTAATAGAAACTTGGAAGCTTGGAGACTTGGGTTCAACTTTATAACCTTTTTCTTTCCAAAACTGAACAAAAATTTGATATTTCCGTGTGAAATGAAAAGAAGTTCCTTCAACATTACATGTTTTCTTTCATAGGGTAGGTCAATTCTGAGTTGTGTAAGACTACAAAATGTGCATTTATTAGGTTTTTTCACTGTTCTCATATAATATAGGAAGGATTTAAACTTCACAAGTGTTCAGTATGTTCAAAAACATTAAGTTTGGACAAGAAATAAAAGCTATTTTAAGAGCCAAAACTCTGCTGAAGATCTCTGGAACTCAGATTACTTCAACAGCAACTCCCAGCCCCTTCTGCAGAGCAGTCCCAAAGACAAGCCCAAATATGACTCAGTTTTAATAAGGACAATTACCAGCTATGATTCAGACAGATGGAGTTAGGACAAGTTGGAGTGGAAAGGCCATAATAACAAATATGGATTAGCCACCATGTGCCAGCTACTTACCAAGGTCTAGAATTATGAAGGTGAGATACCCACTTTTATTTCCCTAGGCTCATGTTACTATTGCCTATGGCAATATTAATGGTAATCACTGTTTCTTGTCACTGACAGATGAAGGCAACCCAATGTAATCAGTCTCCTAATTTAAATAATATTATCTAAAAGTAAGCAGGACTAATTCAGGCCAAATTATCTTCTTTTTTATTATTATTTCCCCCCCCAAGCATTTTGTAATGAGTTGAAGGGGCGATTTAAAGGTAAAAATAGTGAAAAGTGTTCACAAAATTTTGTGGAAGAGCCTACCTGTACCTAAAAGACAACACAGAAAAAATTAGTCAGAGGTTGTTTTGTGGAAAAATTTAAATACAGAACAATTAAGTTCAGAATCTTTGGCAAAATGAAGGTGGTTTGGAGAGGAGATATTATTTACTCAGTTTTTAAGTGATGACAGGCCAGATGAGACTAAGTCTCCAAGAGAGGAATGGAAAGCAGGACACCGCTGCAGGAAGTCAAAGCAGAGGCCATGTTATTCAAGCAGTCAGTTCAATTTTTGCAGCAGCAATTTGAAGGTTTTTACATGAGAAGGAGCTGGTTTATGCCAAAGCCAAGAACAACTGCAAGATACTGCAGTTTGGGAAAAGAAGTAGTTCTGGCCTTACGTTTCGTATAGGGGAAAAGATCTTTGGGATAGGAATACATTTCTTAAAGATTTCTAAATGTTTTTTACAGAAAAAAAAGAAACAAGAAACTATCTGTGAAAAGCTTTCCACACAGGTAGACAGCTAGATAGGTAGTAGACAACACGGTAGGTCTCAATTACAATGTTTTTTATTCAGATAAGTCTCAGTATCTCTATCCCAGGAAAAAATTCTGTCACATCCATCCCTTTCAGTGGAGAAGTTTTATTAACTTAGGGCATCTGTGGAGACTTCTTTAAATAGACAAATGAATGGAATAAACTGTCCCAGGAAAAAAGCATCAGTGTTTTCCAAGTGAGGACCTAGTACAACCATAAAGATTGCAACTTCTTAAGTCCACATAAGCCCTGGAGCTAAGCTGAGTACACAAAAGGTGTAAAAGAAGTTCCCTGTAAATGCAGAAGATGCCAGTGTCTCAGAATT